TGGGCTTGTAGAATTCTTTTTGAATGTTTTGTGTTTTGGAAAATCCCTCCATGTTTACATATTTTTGCTATGACATGATGGACTTTTTCTCTTGACATTTTTGGTATTTTATTTGATTCCAATTTGAGATTTTACCATTGTATGTTGTTATTCTTTCCATATTTTGTACTTATATCGAAGTTTTTGTGTTTGCCTTTGAACTGTACATATATTGTTTAAATTTGATATAATATGGCTACCGCCACATTTTTGGATAGACGCGGTGGCTGCTGGACTTAGTGTCACTTACTAGCTATTGTAATAGATACTCTACGGAGTAATTTAGTCCTGGAAGAAACAAAAATACCGTAAGCCTCTGTATTTCCATTTTATATTAATATAGAGACGTTTTCTCCTAGAATTTTTGACCTTCTGATTTGGCTGGGACCTGGATCTAGGAGTAACGTACCGGAGTGTTTCTATTGGACGCGATTAGGACAGCCGCCGGCGAAATAGATTCTACAGTCTGGTATTTGCTCTTCTTGCGTGAATTATACCTTGGAGGCTGTATTATTATGGATCCACAATCAGGATATAAGAGAGCTAAGGCCATTCTAAAACAGCTCTTTGGACAATCGCATGTAATAGCGCGAGAAACCTTAGAGGACTTATTTAGAACTGGGAATGTAGAATTTAATGATCCTGAATCATTGACGAACTTGGCCATTAAAATGCAGAATGCTTCTTTAACTTTAGAACAGTTAAATTGTACAGCTGAACTTAACTCTATGGATACTTTAGAACGAATAGTAAGGCTCTTACCTCGTCGAATGCAAGCCCAGTGGGCAGAGCTAGTATTCAAGTGGGACGAAGAGGAGAGAGAGCCCAATTTTAACGAATTGACGGAATTTATTATGTCTCGTGCTAAGATAGCTAGTAGTAGGTTTGGAAGATTAGCTTATCAGGCTAAAACAGGAAATAATACGGAAGCTACTAGTGGTCTGCGTGTGAGACATTCGGATTCTTCGTTTCTACCTAAAGCACGCTCGGAAGATAAGAGATTTGTCAATTATATCACGAAAGCATACGCTGATGAAGGACGAGTACGTGACCGTAACGATGTAAAGCCTCTTGATGCGTGTCCTAGTAAGAAGCCGGATGGTGTAACAGATAAGATGGCTTTTCTAAGCGTAGAAAAGAAGGAAAAAGGTGAAAAGTGTAGGCATCAAGATGGATTCGAAGTGTGTGATGATAAAAGCCTCTTAGCTGCTCGAAAAGCCTGGAATGGTTATTTGGATTCGAGTAAACAGAGGTTGATGAGTTCAGCAAATATGAATAAAGCCCCGGCAGGATTGACTGAACGGAATAAAGCTTATTTTCGGAACCCTTCAGTTAGGGTAAATTATATAACTGGACCTAGAGTAGATTCTAGGATAAGTGATGGTGGTACAGTAACGGCTAAGAAGCCTAGGAGACATGATGCTACTATTACTAAGAAGCCTGAACCTCATGCTCTTTCGGATGCTACGACTAGCCATGGAAATAGTAGCCATCAGAACCTTGGTAGTGACAGTGATAAGGAGGAGATAGAAAGTGTCAGCAGTTCACTTATAGGGACTAGTTTGTCAACTTCATCGAATGAGCCTCCTAGTGTTTCGACGCCATCGGACCTCGTCACGAAGGTTAAGTTGATTGAAGATGCACAAGGTTGTGCAACTGTAACTGTTCCTATTACGGTTGACTGTCAGTCGAGTGATGATGAGAAGAAAGTGATTGATGGTAACAGCCAGTCTACAGTGCTGTGTGATGACGATGCTATTGTTGAGCATATGTCTTGTGCCGCGGAAACGGATGCTAATGCAGAACGGAATCATTTAGACGTTGATAATAAACTGGATGTCACTGATGTGACAAATGAGTTACCGACGATGATGAACACTGTTCAAACCTCCTCTGCATCAGGAGATGGAAGGATAAATATTGATCCTACGTCATGCTACTTAAGGTCTTCTGGAGACGATGAAATGTCAAAATTGGAGATCCCACCCTTGCATATTATTTATGGGTCAAAAACTTCTGTTGATAAGTTAGCATCACGGACTTCATGGTATCTGCTGATCGGAGCAAGTGGTGGTGGATTGGCGACTCGTCCCCATGATAGAGAATGTAGTCCTTGGATAGGATATGACCAGTTTTGCGACGCGTTGTTCATGTTCGTATGGGTTAATTGGGTAAGGTTTATACTACCGTTAGGTCATTCCACGATAGATAGGGGAATCAAGGGCCTGATGGGAAGTATAGGTATCTAGTTAGCGCGATAGGTCATATCCATGTTGGATGGCGGGTAGGCGTACTGCTGTAAGTCCTACACGTTATTCCGGTGTGGATTAGGGGATAACATGGGAACCCTAAATAAGGTGTCATTAACGCTTGCTGTTTTTGCATGGAGGGATTTTGCGGGCCGGTGTAGAATTCTTTTTGAATGTTTTGTTTTTGGGAAAATCCCTCCATGTTTACATATTTTTGCTATGACCTGATGGACTTTTTCTCTTGACATTTTTGGTATTTTATTTGATTCCAATTTGAGATTTTACCATTGTATGTTGTTATTCTTTCCATATTTTGTACTTATATTGAAGTTTTTGTGTTTGCTTTTGAACTGTACATATATTGTTTAAATTTGATATAATATGGCTACCGCCACATTTTTGGATAGACGCGGTGGCTGCTGGACTTAGTGTCACTTACTAGCTATTGTAATAGATACTCTACGGAGTAATTTAGTCCTGGAAGAAACAAAAATACCGTAAGCCTCTGTATTTCCATTTTATAACAATATAGA